AAGCTTTCTGTTTTCTAAAAAAGAGTAATTAAAGTAAAGATAATCATAATTTCTTGCTTTGCTTTTATATGTCATATTAATAGTTTTTTTAATTGGTCTGACTTTTCTTTTATATATTAAAAATTAATCCATTTATGTTTAATAGTCTTCATATTAATTATTTCGATTAATTATTATTTTTATGTAAGGTCTTGGTTGAGATGAAAGTTGATGTCACGAGCCGGATCCCGCTACACTAACTTTTTTCATCTCAACCTTACATAAAAAGAATAATTAATTGATATATATTTAAAGTGGGAAAACATGTTGAGCCAGAATTACCATGGCTTTTAATTATATAAAAAGAGGTTTGCAATGCTCCTGTCTTCCCTTATCAGAGTCAATCCTCACTGTTGTTTTTTTATGTTTAACATTTTTATGACATAATTATTATCACCCCAATGAACACAGTTGAGTACATAACAGATCAGTGTGATAATGCCATATATAACGCGTCGTGTGCATCGATGTCGTTACATCAAGAGGTTACCCTACATGTCCAATTTGGCTAAAAAGTCTCTATTGTCCAAAGTACAATTCTCAATTGTAATGGAGCTATTTTAATTTTCAGGTAATCTAAACCTTACACAGCCTTTTTTTTAAATTTAAATACGCCATTGGAAAGAGCGTTGAATAAGCTACGAGATTGACCAGTTTTAATTTAACCTTGCAAAAACAAGTGTCAAAAATTTAAATTTATTCAATATGTCCACTTTCGTGAACAATAAGCTTTAGAGGGGGCGTTGGTGGCGGCAACGGTTTAGGCACTGACACGGAGCTCATCATTGTAAGGTAAAGGTCCCGGGTTCGAATCCAGTGGCCCTGCTTTCGAACAGCCACAGCTTTAGATCGTATATTTTTTAACAAATTAATTTGTGCTTATGCATAATTTGGTACCAAAGGGTTTTTTATTATTTTAATTATTTTTAATAGCAGTTTTAAAATATTAATGATTAATTTTTTTAATCGTTTTTACCACCGAAAAATCGAATCTTTGGCAATTAAACGTAAATTTTAGATTGGTAATAACTTACCTTTGAAAAAAGTATATTTATTTACTGTTTATTAGTAGAGAAAACGTTCCTATAAGCGTTATATCTTTCAACATTCAAAAAACGAAGAAAATATAGATTAAAATTGCTAACTCTTCAAAGTATATCTTTAAGTCATTTTGTATTTTGTTTACACAAGGTTAATTTTAAACAAATCTCTCATAGGGTTTTCAATGCTCTTTTTTGTGTACTCAAATTTACATTAGGATTAACATTTGATGAGACGGGACTTGGACGGTTGAAGTTACCCAATAAGTGAAATATCTCGGATACAATTGAGAATTAGACTTCGGATAATGGAGACATTTTAGTCCATTTGGACATGTTGGATAACCTCCTGTATTGATATCTGTTCACGGGACGCCTTGTCTCTAGTCACAAGACCTCAACGTTTTTATTTCATAATTTGTATAAAATAAAACATACTGAGCATAAATATCTAGTAATGTAATCCATGTGGTCGAACCAATTCAATTTGGAATCAACAAAAGGCCTCAAAAATAAAGTTTATCTTACAATTAAGTTATCTAACAATGATTTAATATTATTATTTATCATTTTGTGATGAACCTTGTTGATTGTTAGCTAATCGGATCCTTTACGTAAATAATAAGTATACTTGGACCTAAAATTGAGCCTTCTCAACGCCTATAGAGACAGTATTTTAAGTTGGAGATTGTTTACTAATAATATGTCTCCTTTTACTAATAATATTTATTAAATAGTAGTAATGAAATGGTTTTTGAATAATTGTTATACAATTCACACAAACATTCTGAATCATTATTGGTTAACACTTTAACAACAGTTTATTAGGTTTCGTGGTCCGCTCGACCAAATAAATTATTTTTTCCAATTAATTAAGGTTTTGGTTGAGATAAAAAGTCAGTGTCACAAGCGGTATTCGAACCCATGACTTTCGGCAAAATACGCCGCTGCTTGTCAAAGTTGAGTTTCATTTTGCCAGGTACTGTTATAGCAAACTCTTTTATTTTAATTTTCTTTAGAACAATTATTCTTTGAATGTAAGGTCCTGGTTGAAATAGTGCCGCGAGCGAGATTCGAACCCATGACCTTCGGCTCAATACGCCGCTGCTGAAACCACTTGAGCTATCGTGACCTCGATACACTCGGACACTAAACTGCACCTTTGGTTGAGATGGGAAGTTAGTGTCCGAGTGGATCGAAGTCACGACAGCTCAAGTGGTAGAGCAGCGGCGTATTTTGCCGAAGGTCGTGGGTTCGAATCCCGCTTGTAACACTGACTTTTTTATCTCAACCAAACCCTTAGTTAATTGGAAAAATAATTTAACAACAGTATTATTGTGAAATTTATCCAGTTTTCGAGATGACGATGGTGTAATTAGTTCGTTATCTATCATGGTTGTCTGTTGGTCATTTCGCCAGTCCAGTGTGTCCTATCGGAATAATCGGTAATTCAACATAAGAACTCACTACTTCGTAAGAATTTTAGGCCTGATAACTATTGCATCTTCATCGAATGTAATTATCCAATCGTAATGTAAGATAGATGGAGTACAGTCTGCGTATGATCACATCTTGCTACTTTTTATAAATTGTCCGATCTACAAATTGGTTTGGCTCATCCAGTACACAGTACAAAAATACTTTTTAATTAAGACTTCTTAGGCTTTTCGTTTTATTGGACCGTGTAATTGTAGTAAGAAAATATTATTTTTCTGTTGTTGACATTTGGTGGACGTGTTATTTCGATTACAACTTGTAAGACAACAAAAGCCTAATTCACTTTCGCGAACGGTTTTATTTATAGAAAAAGTGTTTTCCGACGAGAAAATCAGTTTAATTCCGTAGGTTCAAGGGCGGAGAATATTGAGCAAAGGCTAAAATGGACAACATTCTTCGTTGAGCTGATCAGCAGCGACGTTTGTTTTGCCCATCGAGAATCGATTCCACGTCACGGGTCGATTGCTTAAATATTTAGGTGAGGGTCAATTTGTGACGTGGGTATCGGGTAATGGAAAACCAATTCGGCCCCTCCTCTGGGTCAAAACCCTTAAATTTCCATGAGGCCACCCCCATGAATTCAGCCCCTTTGGCCAGTTTTTTTCTTAATCTGATACATAATATGTTCGAAGGGTTCAATTCTGAATAAAATCCCTTCGGCTGACATGAACATGTCTTTAGCAAAAACACAATAATAAGCATTCAAGATTTTTGTTCAAATTTTTCAAAGTTAAATCAAAATATAAACATTGAGGGTGACTGATCCTGAAATTCAACTCTATTTTTTCAGATAGACTATTTATGGAAGTTTAAAAAATTCTAACAGATGTGTTTTATTAATAGGTTCACTTACAGCGAATCAAATAGTTTAAATTTTTTTTTAAAAATGAATTTTTACGAGTTAAGACCGAAATTTTTAAAGACTGTAAGCCAATCGCTTTCGCTATTTTAAATGTTACTTTTATATTATTAAATTCTTAGTCAACCACCAATACAGAAGGTTTTACAAGACTGACAGAAAGAAATCTTGTTTTAAAACAGATATTAATTATAATAAATCCGCTTAATCAAAAAACATCGACACTGACCTGGTCGAGTCGACCTTAAAACAAATCCAGAAGATAATTTAAAAAGTTAAAAAAACCCTACGTAAACAGTATATTTCGTAATAACATAAAAGTTCCGATTTATAATATTAAAATTTATGATAGCATAATCACATTTAATTCGATTCGTTGCATATTCGGTTTTTTTATTATCATTGCATCTTTGCATTTATCCTACGACACATTTGCGTATATATTCGTCTGGGATTATATAAAGCCTGATATTGAGAAAACCATATAAATAGGATTAAACTGAATATTAAATAATAATTGAAAATTGCTGAGCTGATATTTCATCTTTTAAACAACTGATAGCTTTCGATGGCTGATTAAATTTCTTGTGTTAAAAGCACCATTGGGCAAAAATGGATTCAAATTCACTTCAGGAAAACAAAACCAAAGAATCCAAAAATGATTAAATTTCTCAACAAATTAACTGATTTTTAAGTCAAGTTACTGCTAATTTTGAAAAATAAACCTTAAAACTGGACAAATTTAAGGACTTTATTCGTTATAGAGTTGGAGATTTAAAATAACGTGTAGAGATTAGTGACCGTTAATCGATAGTTATTCAGATATCGTGAGATGCGGTCGGGTGTGATGTAGGTTTCAGAAAAACATTTTCTTTATCGGGCCAACGTTTCGATCTTTATTGAGATCATCTTCAGGGCCTGGGATTTACAAACAATGTTTACATTTAACAATTACATTTAGGATGTGGAAAAGTGAATTTATACAATGCAAAATATATTTTATATTCAAACAAAGTATTTCTACTCACTCAAAGTGTTTGTCTTCTGTGTAACTGTGCCATCCTAACGTGTCGTGCTGAGAGTGCCAGTGAGATTTTGCTGTTTTATGTTTATATATGTTTGGTGTTGAAGGGGTGGGGAAGGAAGTCGGTATATAAAAGACAATTTTGTGTAAGGCGTCGGCTTCTTTGAAGTGAAATAAGCCGACAAAGGGGAACAATGTGTTGGTAATATAATCTATATAATCCAGTACAGTAAGGACAATCTGGCCGAACTATTACCAACACACCTTCCAACGATATTTTTCCAGTGACCATCTAAGAAAAATAAATAGTCATGTGTTTAGAGGAGCAACCGAAGCACAAACCTTCAAGTTGAGAAACCTCAGTTAACCACCTGAAAAATCGTATTACCTTATTAAATTATAACATTTTATCGGAAAGGAAATTCACGTCGAGCATTCTATCGCTACCCTTGAAAATCTTTAGGCCATCCATTTCTCTGATAACCCCTGCGACCCTCCCCGAGTTTCGAATTCCCCACTATCGTTAAAACGCCGGCCAATTGTCGAAAACCCATCAGTTGTATTAGAACGACGATCCGAGAGACACTCAGAAAATGGCGAACCACATGACAATTTTAATCTTGTTTGCTGTCGGAATCGCGTCCTCGACCGTGAGTATACAGCAAAATTGACACATCACTTGATTGCCCCGGTCTATCTAAGCTCCCTCCCTTCCAACATCGAAGGCAAAATAATGAATTTCTCTGTTACAAACGGTTATTTATTTTTACTTTACTAAGTTTTTTTAAACATTTGTAATAAAATTTTTGCTATATACGTTTTAGCTTACATTCCATGGTTAAAAACAAATTTGGGCATAATAAGGACAATCTAATCACATGTTTTAAATTTATGACAAATTGATGATAGCAATAGTAATAATTCAACATAAAAATAACAAGCTGACATGCATAGAGTAATATTATAACAGAATAAAGTTATAATATTTAATTCAGCCATTTAGCACCATTTTCTAATCTAACGATTAACGAACTAAAAATGTCGGTTTTAATCATATATTTGAAACAAGATTTTTTCAGATAACTTTCGGAGCTCTAAATTGTAAAGGAAAAAATTACGAGAATAAAAATGATGTGCTAGGATTTCATAGACAAGTCCTTTTAATTTGTTCATTTAATGTCGGACGTTGTAACAAAACTGGGTAAGGGCTTGGTTCACAAAGGAGGTAGTTTTTTTATCAAACGTTTAGTCAATTTCTAGGCAATAACTATTTTTGTTGATTGTCTATCGGTATAAACGAAAAATGGATGATCTGAACTAAAAACCAAACATCGTTCATTTTTTTCACGTTCTTCTGTGAATTGCCCAAAATGATCGCTATCTGAGTAGATCGCTGTTGTCTGTCACACATGACCTTTTTCCGTCGTTTTAACATTGTTTATGCCACCAGAAGACATTTTTTTCAATTTATTTTATTTATTGCTATCACCCCATATTATGTGTTTTATAAGCGGTTAGTTTGTTATGAATGCTTAGTATTGTTTTCGGTATCGGTAGGTGCCTGCCTTATATCTTTTGTTCATTTCTTGTCTTTTTAATCTTGTAGGTGAGTTCCATGTAAGTCTGCTATGTAAGTAACGCCCAACTTTACCTTGTTGTTTATGTACACTGGTGGGCTGACATTCGACCGTAACCTGTTATTCAACTAAGAAATTTTCTGTACTATTACAAGCTGTGAGATGATTCATTGTATGGAAACACGGGAGTGTTTTTGTCCTTTGTAGGGTGAGAGGCGTAAAATAAACTGCTCATAAATGACTAAGGATATTGCCAATTTTGTATTATTTAGTTTCACTAGCATTTTTACGTGTACTATGTCCTCAATTAGCCAAAATCAGTGTAAATTTGTTAGGCATACGTTAATAAGGTTGTCCGTAATTTTATAAGGAATTTCACTCCATAGGGTGCATAACCATCTGTCCTACAGGGTAACAGAAATGTTCCAAAATTCAGCCCCTGTTACACCGGGAATGGATTCGTAGTGGTACGTGGTGACGCCCCTGTCGGGAACTTAGAGAAGAGGCTGTCTTCTACCTGTGACCTGGTTATACACCCGGCCTCACGGGATACGGCGGATCAGACGGCAGCGTACAAGCGTTGAGGACGCTATGTTTATGCTGAAAAGTCCTTCGAATGCGGGAGTAGTGGCGGATGGGAACGGGTAGTGAATCGTGCATGCTTTGCACGTAGGCTGAGTTCGATAGGAGGCTTTTACCGTAGGAGGTACTCCTCTAGGGGGTGGTTAGCAATTCCACTTTTAAAAAAACAGCGGCCGGAGCGGATCCGGTAGTTTCGATGCTAGGGAAGCCCCCAATACTCTGGGAGATAGAGTGGTGTCTATCTAGGGAGGTGCGGGAGACCAAACTGATGTATTTCGGCTTAGGTAGCCCGTTGTGCGCGGCGTACGGTCTGATGCTTAATACAGGCTCGACCACCACTCGGAATGCGCAAGCGGGGAGCGAGGTTGTCTTGGCCTTTCGGGGCTGAGCTGCCTCTATACCAATGCTGCGGCAGTAACACCATTCTGTCGTACGTGGAGGTGCGTCAGCTCATCATGAGACTCAAAACGTCCGATAAGGCCGAATAGGCTACGTGCGGACGTTAAAGATCCTCATTGACCTTTTTAGGACAACCGAGTATACGGGAAAGCATGCACCATATTCTTCTGAGTTCCTGGTGGCTGGCTGTTGCCCCACCCGTCTCAAAGGGGCATACGGTGTGAGGCTATCTTCCCAACAACGATTACGAATCGTTTGATTTGTTAAAGGCCTTGCCAAAACTTGCTGTTCTTCATTTAGGATCTGGCAGGCACTTCCATCAATGACAATATTTTCTGTCCTCCCTTAGCGTCGTAATACGCTGAGACTCTACCTCTCTACCAGACCTCTTATTGGCACTTCCAGTCTCTCGGAATCGGGCTGCAGGAGAGACCTCGCTCTGAGAAACGCCAACTGCCACTACGATATCCACTTTCTGGTACCTCGATGGCTCATTATCACAATAATTTTGCAAACTTTTGGTTCAAGATGATGTCTTTCCATGGTAAAAGGGAGAACAACTGGATTAAAATGGATAAAAGACGAGAAAAGTTGTTTGTTTACAAAACGAGTAATCTTCATGTTTACTGTTCTTAAGTAAATCCGTTTCAAAATTGAGGATTAACATTTGTTTGTTTCATTCAACTAACAAGAATGCCTCAGTTAATGTAATTAAAATTAATAGAATAAGATTAAATTATTAATATTCCTATTCATTTTTGAGAAGTTTACATGGAAAATGAATCTTCCGAGCCTGTGAATTCATAGCTGTCCTGTAAATGGAGAAGTGCCCTAGACAGGGAAGTTCCTTATCGAAGGGTTCAATGTATTTAAAAATCACATTTTACAACATATTGACTTTTCGAATGAAAAAGAAATGTAAAAGACCCATGGAAGAAAACAAAACTTATTAAATTTATTTAAAGCGATTTAACAAATATTTATTTCAGATTGATTTTGCCAAGAATCATGAGGAAACTCTGTAAGTGTTACAATAAAAAAATGATATTAAATGTTAGAAAAGTGAAATCATTCGTCAAGTGAAGAATTAAATATATTAATAAATAAATGTGTGTACTTATACTTATACCAAAAAAAGAAAAATCTCAAGTAGTGGGTTTATATGAAATGATCATTTGGGTAACCCCATTGTTTTCAGTGTGAAAACCGAATGTGTATCCTTTATAATTCCCTGTCTTTTTTTGTTTGCATATGGATTTAAAATTTTGAAAAGGGCTTAATACGTGAAAACCCATCCATCTTGATTCTCTCCCGTTTAGCCCATGGACAATAATGCAAACGAGAGAAAACTGTCTTACACCACCGACTCGACACCACAGTAGCCGTGCAGTTTGCACGGAGATATCTCAAGGTGCTAGTGACCCAGTTAGAAAATAATTGACACAGATCCTGCGGAATAGCCGAAATCACATGACGATATCTACTTTACAAAGTATGTTTGCCCATACCAAATATGCACTCCGGGGGTAAACTTCGTAAATTGAAACTCCACTTTATATAATATCGAAAACAAAAGAAGTTCCAAGTTAAAACGTAAAAGTCGATAACGTGGTTATAATTGTCTCAGAATTTGAAACCAAAAATTCTAAATGCAATCTAATAAAACTCAAATTCATATAATCCCAAGTTATTTTTTTTTCTTTGAATTAATTCAAAACCAATATCGCACTAACTGTAGACTGTTTTAACCACGGAACGTTAGAACAACTACCGCAGTTGCGTGTTTTACTTAAATCAGTCTATTTTTTTCACAAATCGACCTCCACGTCGTTTGACTAAGTATTTCCCTTGTAATTTTCCTTTACGATTGTTGTTTTAAATGTCAATGTACAACACCTAATTCTGTTTAAATCGTTTCCATTTGTAAACACAATTTCATAGAGTTGGCGGTCGAGATTCCGGTTCTAGAAGTCTTCGTATTTTTCCAAGTCTTCTGTTAAGTTGATGTCTCCAAAGTCTTGTGGGATTCCTCGTCAGTCCGCTGTCTAGGTGTAGTCCTAAGCATTTGACTTGAAAGGAAATCGATATCCCTTTGTGGTTGATGTACAGTCGATACTGAGTTCATTTTTCTTCATTCAGTCTTGCCCTCCACGTTTTGCACAAGGCTTCGAAAAGCTCAATGTGTTGGATGTAGCTTGGAATGAAATAATAATAATTGGTACACTATATATTTTACTTTTACCAATTAGGTTTTCTGGTTTGTGCATAGAGTATAAGAAATTGATATTGACAATTTTATAATATTTTATGAGAGATGATTTAATTGGTTGTTAGTATAAGTAAGTGGAGTCGCTGATATGCGATCACCAATATTATTGAAGCCTTTGTGATACCAGATAGAAAATTAATAGATTATGTCCAAGCATTCTTGCCAATTGGCCTTAGGAGCCTAAAAAAATTGATTAAACCTACTTTCAAAAGCAGGAAAATTTATAATATGGGAGGATAAATTTTTAAACTAATTGCCAGATATTTCATGCTATGGATTTCGGGCCATGACAACGAGAATTGGATGCTAAATCGGACTGCCTAAAAAAAGGCCTTAAGAAGTCTCTACGAACGCATAACATTTTACAATAACGAAACCAAACTACTACAAAAAGAGTACAACGTCAACTAACAAACAAACCCAAACCGTAGTAGACGCAAAAACAGCCATAGGGTTCCCAAGCACGTACAAGAACAAATAAAACATTAGCATACTAGGCAAAACAATCACGCAACTCTCGGCAGTACGAAATACTCCGGAGAAATCTAATAAAAAATATAAAGAAAAAAGTCAAAACTAAACAATACCTGTGAATGTGACGGACTCAGTGACCCAGTGCAGGTTCAGCATATAATGAAATTCAATAGCAAAGTCAATAGACGTAGCAAAGTAGGTTGAACTATTTTCTTTTTGCTAAAAACAAAGTTGATATTTGTTTTTCGAATATCAAAATAGAGCGCTGAATAAAAATTTGTCAAAATTTTGTGCTCGATTGTTTTTAATCACAAAAACGATTATAACGTTTAATCCACTGCAACGATTCACCGGCAACTTTACAGGGGTTTAGAAGCTTATAAACTGCAATTAAGAGCATCAACTTTAGGGCTTTTAAAGGAATTAGAACCTAAGAGAAAAAAACTGTTTCAGAAGTTTTTGAAGACTTCAATCTTGATTTCCTCTCTTATAATGAGTAAATCTAAAGGTAGTTGGTTTTTGCTAAATTAAAAGACAGTCCAGCTTTCCGAGATAGTAGTAAGGTTAAATTTGGATAAAATATAGAATAGTTTATTTACGTTTTAGAGATCAAAACCAAGTGACTTCTTTCAATTAATTATTCTTTCTATGTAAGGCTTTGGTTGAGTTAAAAAAAGTCAGTGAAACCCGCTGAAAACAGCTAAATACGCCGCTACTCTACCACTTGAGCTTTCGTACGATAGCGGGTTCGAATCCCGCTCGTGACACTGACTTTTTTAACTCAACCAAGGCCTTACATAGAAAGAATAATTAATTGAAAGATATAGAATAGTTATGAATTATTAGATGAAACACCGGGCATCGGTCGGAAGAATAAATGCTTGCGTCAAATCTATCTAAAAAAGATCTATTTTTATTGGTATGAAAATCTGTATTTAAGGATTTGGCCTCCTTTAGTGGAATCCATTTAATAACTTTACAACAATTTTGTAAAACAACAACTGGACTATTGCAGGTAATAACCTTGAAAAAAAATTCGAATATCCTCAGCAACAAAAGCTATAATCCATAATCCTCAGAAAAATTCTTAATGTCTCCCACATGTTTCCAACGAAAATACCCATACAGATTTAAATATTCCTTTTGTTCAAGATGTAATCCACCGCCTTTATCGCCAATTTCATACAAATCTCCCGACCACCGTAAATCCTCAAACACAAAAACTGTCATCCCGACGAATTCCCTCCAGCCTTCCTCGCCGACTAAAAAGACAATAGCCGTAGGATCTTCTTTCAACCCCAATCATGTAGAGAACACCTAGGACTCATGGGAATACTGCCAATGGGTAGTTTATGAACTTTTGTTTATTTATTTTATACACTCACTGCTACTTGTTACCCAACTGAAGGTAGTTGTAATAATGTAAATTTTAAAAAAATCCATTGGATACTTGAAGAATATTTTGACCTGTGCAGAGATCATACAACCCTGTATTTGTTAAAATTAACTGCAGGCTAAAATGTTTCAGCAATTCGACATAAAAGCAGCAACTGATGCTGAATTCAACGCGTTCAGGGTTACCGCCGCAGAGGAATGTCGTGTTGAAAACCACGTAGCAAAAGGTGCAATTTATAATTAAAATTACTTTTCTAGCTCATTGGTATGACATATTTCCGTAGGTGAATGGGAGAAACTCGCTGCGAATCGGCATATGCCGCATGACAAGAATCTCTCGGTGAGCATTGGCATTGCTATGGAATATATTGGATCGTGGTGTGATAAAAACCTTGAGGAATTTAACGGATCGTTTTTTCTCAGTTTTATAGCAACGATGCTCTATGAATAGAAAGTAATTGCATTTTCCGTCTGTTTCAGTGCATGGCAGCTTGCTTTATGGAAAAATTTAAATCGGTTGGTACTAATATTTATTTATCAGATTGTTATTTGAATGTTATATTATTTTTTTAAGCTCAACACCGACGGGACATTGAACTGGGAACAAATCGAACTCTGGAACAAGAAAGAGCATGGAGAGTTAGGAGTTCAATACTTGAAAATTTGCAGGCCCAAAGGTACTTTAAAACAATACCAAATCCCTGATGGATTTTTTGCTTTCTTTTAACATGCGTTTTGGGCTTTGTTTTCAATAAGTGCTAACAAGATGGCATTTTACGGTTTACATGAAAAATGTAAAAGTTCACCTAACGTCGGTCATGCGCGAAATAATGGATTTAGATATTCACAAAAAAAAGAATGCTTTTAGAATGGTCGAAAGAGTGGTCCGCCTTATCTCGCTGGTAATCTCACTAAGATCAGACTCAGAACGTGTGTTTTCAACGTGATGAACGTTTCAATATGAATTTTATCGTCCACTCCAGCAACGCCATATATCACGTTTATCAACATTCACATTCTCTGAGAAGAGCTCTCTGGCTGAGTGAGATGTTAGCAATGATAAATTGATATTAACGCACTTTCCAATGGCCTCTAGTATCCAAAATTTGACAAACTAAGCTATTTTATTTTTGTTAGTTTGATTATTTAAAAAAAACGATTTAACCATGGCGGTCAATAATTTTGAATATAAGTTTTAAACTAATAAAAAAAAGTTCTTCACTTTTATATAATTTTTTTGTTATTTTTTTACTTTCAGTTGATGAAACTGCAGAACGATGCGAGCTCGCCAGAGCTCTTGTCGATTGCTACTTTGTTGAGGGAGAGAAAGTAAGTTATATTTTTTCTATTTTTGTATATTTTTTAGTTATTTTTTATAATATATTTTTTAATTAAACTTATTTGTAGCTCGGATTATTCAACAAGCCTTAACTTTCTCCGTGTCAAGTGTTTGTTTATAAGTTATGGTTCATTTGTTCTCAATGGCCTCAATCACCATCTTAAATTTACGAATTACCAGTAAGATGTAACTTTTTTTTTAATAATGATTATATAAATATTTCAAAAATTCTGTTGTTTGTTTTTTACACAGCCCTTTTTCTAAGGTTTGTACTAAATTTTGCAATTTTAGAAATATAAAAATTGTATCCTTAGACGTATAATCATGTGCTATGTTATATTGAACTTTGGTACTGGAATAATTTTGGAATTTATTTTTGAGGTTGCATATAATTGGTACGAATTGTGAATAAGGATGTAATTCCAATTTCGGGTATAATTTAATAAATATGCTGAGTGCGTAACCTCGGGTCCATAAGGGCTCAAGGAAAAACTCATAAGTTCAGAGAGAAGGGCACATCAGAAGGATGTGCGAGATTTTAGATCTTCAAAATGGTGGTGAAAATTGATTGTCAACATGAACCGCTCTCATAACTTCACTTACTGAATTCTATTTGCATACCTTATTCGCAATTCTTACCGAAATGGCCTGGTCGATCCTGTTCACCCTTGTCCGCCCAGTCGTGCCTCGTTTCTGTTGCAGCGTTGTGCCATTCATTGATTGTTCTGTGTGTTAATTTTTTCGATACCCTGATAATTCACATTTCTTTATCCCGTCTAAATCCCGTTTATTCGAAACAAACATCTTGCGGCTTGACAAAAACTCAGTTATTTCTAAACATACACTCCGAGGAATATCGAGAACTCGGGGGCGTGATTGTGACCTGACTTCTATGTTTGTATACGGAGGTGAAGTATATATTTATATTGTATGTTTTGTGTCCATTCTATAGATGACCAACTCAAGTACGAATGAGAAGCTAGCATATTAGGATATCGACTTATTTTTCAATAAAAACAGAGAGTCATAAACGTATTGAGACGCCCGAATGACTGCGGATTGGAAAATGCATGTGAAGACGAGAAAAAGAGGTAAAAACACACAGAGGTCCGGCGAAGACATTAGTTGTTTGTTGGTCTCTAAACATATTAATATACAGGGTGAATTGCTACTCGTGCTACAAACTTCTCCAGTAGATTCTTCACCCTAAAATGAACAAAAAAGTTCATATTGTCCATGGTCNGTTGAGAATCGGACCATGGACAATATGAACTTTTTTGTTCATTTTAGGGTGAAGAATCTACTGGAGAAGTTTGTAGCACGAGTAGCAATTCACCCTGTATATATATATGTATATATATATACGTGTTACAAACTTTGCCCGTAGATTCTACATTCAAAATGGAACCACAAAATCCTAATTAACTATAGTCCAAATCTCAGCGGTTTCGTAGTTGTTCCACTTTTTCTGATTTTTAAAGATTTGACGACCTCGCTTCAAATAAACAATGACAACTCCAAAACTAAATGGTTTTGGACAAATCCGTTGATACCATTTAAAACTACGTTAAATTTCCAATAAGGCGTAATCAATACTCAACTAGCAAACGTTCGTGAAATAAGTCTTTTAGTAGGAAGAACTTTGAAAAAAAAAATTCTATGTTGAAAAACCTACTATGATGATCCTAAACTTTCCAAACCTAGAAACCTGCAAATTTCAGAAAACTTACTTCATTTAATATCCTTTTTAGTGGTGCATTTTCTTTTTTAATTACTTTTTTAAAGATGAGAAATTTATGAAGGAAACGAAAAAACCGTGGTTGAAGGATTGGTAAGGTGGAAAGATTAATAATAATAAAAAATAAAAAACAATGAAATTTGGAATGAACTTATTAAACTTTTTTTTATGTTTGATTCGAAATGCTCTCCCCCTTCCACAATGAATTTTCGACGCGCTGCCGTCGCATTAAACCCGCAAAACGCGTACATAAGATGTATATCAGCGTATTCTTCATTAGAAAAAGTAGCCATAGTGTTAACAAGATATACCATAGATAACTAAAAAGTTTTGAATCCTACAACTCTTTTATTTGGGTGAATAATAATACAATAATTCTTTAATCAAAGTTGCACGTCGTGTTGACAAATAAGTAACCACTTGCACTATTTCGGTTCCGAGCCCAATTTAAATTGAAAATTTCCTTAAATTTTTTTTTAATTTTCCACCGTATCAATCCGTCAGCCACTGTTTTCTCCTTTCCTCCATCCATTTCTTCATCTTTGAAAAGAGTAATTAAAAAATAAATTACTCTACTAAAAAGGATATTAAGTGAAGTACGTATTCTGAAATTTCCTTGTCTCTACGTTTGGAAGGATAGTTTGGAATCACCATAGTAAGTTTTTCAACTTAAAAAAAAATGTGTGGTGATTAGTGACCGTTAATCGATATTTATTTAGCAATCGTGAGATGCGGTCTGGTGTGATGTAGGTTTCAAAAAACATTTTCTTTATCGTGCCAACGTTTCGATCTTAATTGAGATCATCTTCAGGGCTCAAAGTGTTTGTCTTCTGTGTAATTCTGCCAGTCTTTCGTGTCGTGTTGAGAGTCACGATAAAGAACACTTTTTTCTGAAACCTTCATCACACCAGACCGCATCTCACGATTTCTGAATAATTATTGATTAACGGTCATTAATCACCACACATTAAAAATAGGAAGTCATGATAGGTCAAGTGGGTAGCGTAGCCGCATATTGAACCAAAGGTCAGGGTTCGAATCCCTCCCGTTTCATTTCAACCAAAACCTTAGATTAAAAGTTGGATTAATTAAAATAATTAATATGGTCAATTATAACTACTAAATACATACAAATGGATCATATTTAATGACTCTCAACACGACATACAAGAATGACACAATTACACAGAAAACAAACACTTTGAGCCCTGAAGATGTTCTCAATAAAGATCTAAACGTTGGCACGATAAAGAAAATGTTTTTCTGAAACCTACATCACACCAGACCGCATCTCACGATTTCTAAATATTTTTTTTTTTTTAATCGGAGTTCTCGCTACTAAAACACTTATTTCACCAACGTTTACGAGTTTGTTATTGATCACATCTCATTGAAAATTTAACGTAGTTTTCAATGGTATTAACGGATTTGTCAAAAACGTTTTAGTTTTGGAGTTATCATTGTTTATTTGAAGCAAGGTCGTGAAATCTTAAAAAATCAGAAAAAGTGGAATAACTCCGAAACTGCTGATAATAGGACCATAGTTAATTAGACTTTTTGATTCTACTTTGAATGTTTGATCTACGGGAAAAGTTTATATTAAAAAGATAAAAATGTTAAGAATTGTGGGCTTTGCCTTTTGTGCAGTAGACGTCTAAGTTAGAATAAAAAAGGTCAGTATTATTCTTTTCACGTTATCCTTGGTTTTTAAGGGTATCAACTATGTAGATAAGTGTGAATTTTTAGTTCTATGTTAAATTTTTGTTTTAATGTGTACTGTAGAAATTGAAAATTACTTAAGACGGAGAAAAGAGTTTGGCAAAGGGGATCGCGGTGGCCGAGTGATTATGGCGTCCGACTCGTATTTGTTAAAATAGCGATCCTGGGTTCGAATTCAGGCATAGACCCTAGTTTTTAATTGAAAGTATAAAAGAAGTGATTTGACCCCTCGTCACCAACACCCAACGGGTTTTTAGATCAATGACAAGAATTACTTTACTAACAGCGTTTAACGTATAAAACTAACCTAGACTAGCATATCGTAATGCTCAGAAACAGTACATCAAAATAAAATTTTATAAGTATTGTACTATTTTAGACTACGAAACAATATAGCAGGTAAATTGTGTCTCTTTTATTGCAGGAAACAATTCTACCAGGTTTGTTATTTGAAATAATCGCCGTGTTTCTATTAGCGTGTACGAAACTACTTTTCCTTACTTGGCTATAAGTGGCTATTTTCTTTTGATCGACAGATCCATTTTGGTCGATAATTGGCCGATGGTTTTGTCTAGAATAGGCACGATCGCATCCCGTTCTGCCTGTTCATCTATTATGGATTTCCACTCGGCCTTGTCCCTTTTCAAATTCGGATATGTATTTTAAAACAGCTAAAAAAAACTGCATATCATTTTCATATTGAAGTTTATCTCAGCCTTGTTCTTTTTATGTAATTTTTTATTTTTTATTGGCCACGAGTACTTACAATTACGGGACAACTTAAAACGAGAGCTTTCATTATAATCTACCGGCTTTATTTTTAATCTCAAAAGCTTTCTTTTTAATGGAAAAAGTCTATATCTGTCCGTGTTGGACTGCTCCTGTACCCTGTTATCAGCGGCAGCCGCCGGTTTTCCGATGATAAAGGCAATTCATCAACGTCAGACGAAAGAAGCGCAGTGATTCTTCCTCGGGACATGGCAAATAAAATCTCGTTCAACCCTTTAATAACATTGGAAGAAAAGGTTCCAAGAGTAACATTTATATAAAGAAAATCGTCTAAAAATAACCATTATATTATGTGCAAGATATTCAAGAATAACATAAATACAAATAAATATTGTGTTCTCACATTACTTTTAATTACTCAATAATAATATCTTCTTTAATATATGAACTATATATTAATAATATAAAAAAAAACAATATAATATTGCTGGAAATCCAGAGAAAGCATTAAATATAATGTTTATTTGGAGATCGTGAGATGCGGTCTGGTGTGACGTAGGTTTTAGAAAAAAATTTTCTTTATAGTTCCAACGTTTCGATCTTTATTGAGATCATCTTCAGGGCTCAAAGTGTTTGTTTTCTGTGTAGATGTGTCATTCTTGTGTGTCGTGTTGAGAGTCATTATATATGATCCATTTGTATGTATTTAGTAGTTATAATTGACCATATTAATTATTTTAATTAATCCAATTTTTAATCTAAGGTTTTGGTTGAAATGAAAAAGCTAGTGCCACGAGCGGGATTCGAACCCCGACCTTTGGTTCAATATGCCGCTACGCTAACCACTTGACCTATCATGACTTCCTATTTTTAATGTTTAATGCATTAAAGCATTTGTGAAAACTAATATTTAGGGATGTTTTGATGCATATCGTGATAAAAGTGACCACCAGAGCCCAAGATTTTTTTTCCTATCGAAAACGTTTAAAACGTCCGTTGACTACAACTTAAATGCTGGCTGGCAAGAAGCAAGTTTACACGAAGC